CCTCCAGCCCGGTCTCCGCTCTTCACCACAGGACCTCCAGCCCGGTCTCCGCTCTTCACCACAGGTCCTCCAGCCCGGTCTCTGCTCTTCACCACAGGACCTCCAGCCCGGTCTCCGCTCTTCACCACAGGACCTCCAGCCTGGTCCTCCTGCAGATCGGAGAAGATGTTTCTGTTGCAAGGACTGAAGTCTGGCGGCGGTGGTGGCGGTGGAGGAGTTGGTAACCTTCTACAAGGAGCCATCAGTGGCCTGTCGGGTTCTGGACAAGGTGGAGGAGCCGGTGGTGTCGGTAACCTTCTACAAGGGGCCATCAGCGGCCTGGCAGGTTCTGGACAAAGTAGAGGTGCCGGTGGCCAAGGTGGCGGCGGCGGTGGAGGTGTCGGTAACATCCTCGGAACCATCAGTGGTCTGGCGGGTTCTGGGCAAGCTGGAGGTGCCGGAAAGTTCATCAAGGGGGCCATTGACACTCTGAGTGGTGGCGGCGGGGGCGGCGCGCAGGCTGGTGGGCCCGGGAAGCTTTTTGCTTCCGGCCCCGGTGGTGGAGGTGGTGGTGGAGGGAACATCCTCGGGGGAATTCTCGGCTTAATCGGCAATGCCATTGCAAACTACAAGCCAGAGCCTCCCCCGGCCCCGTGTGCCAACGTTTACCAACAAGAAGCCACGGAGAACGAGGAGCAGCAGCAGTTCCGCCGCCTCTTCCGCCAGCTGGCCGGGGAGGACATGGAGGTCTCCCCCGTGGAGCTCCAGAACGTCCTGAACAAGGTGGTGTCCAAACACCAGGACCTAAAAACCGACGGCTTCAGCATCGACACGTGCCGCAGCATGGTGGCCGTCATGGACAGCGACGGCACGGGCAAGCTGGGCTTCGAGGAGTTCAAGTATCTCTGGAACAACGTCAAGAAGTGGCAATGTATCTACAAACAGTACGACACGGAGAAGACCGGCTACATCCCCGCCGCCTCCATGCCGGCCGCCGTGCAGGCCGCCGGCTTCCAGCTCAACGAACAGCTTCACCAGCTGCTCATCCGCCGCTACGCCGACAACAAAGGCAACGTGAACTTTGACAGCTTCATCAGCAGCCTGGTCCGCATGGACTGCATGTTCCGGGCCTTCAAAGCCCTGGACCGGGAGGGCAACGGCGAAGTCCAGGTCCGGCTACCCGATTGGCTGAAGATGACCATCTTT